ATCAAGTACATTCTTCTTTAATTATCAGCTGTATAGGTAAGATCAATGAATAAATGTTCTGTGAAAAGAATGAGATAACTAATTCACTTACAAGGTTTTGCAGACAGTGAGCTGTTGCCTTGATCACTGTCTTGCATGCTTTAAGCGCTTTGTATGAGACGGACCTTGACAACTGTGTATGCTTTTTTTTATTTTAAGGGCATAGGGGTCAAACTCATCATCATAAAGGCCGAAAGAGATGAATAGAAGGATTGGAGACTATCTTTGTTTTCCTGTAATAATCTTTGCCATAGGTGGCCTTGCATACATACTTCATCCTTCATGGTTTAAGTTCTTTATTTGTCATATACACTGCAATTACAGGTGCCAGGATCAGGTTTGTCGCTCTGTATTATAGGTTCAAAGAATGATGCATTCAAGTACTGAAAGACTTTTGGGGAAAAGAAGTAAAGTTTTGGGTTTTTTTTTTCTTCAGTCTGAATTTCTGGGTCACAGGCGTTTCCTGTGGAGTAATATGTTCAGGTCGAGCCTCTATCTTGGCTTTGATGAAGTACCTTGTCCAGTGTCATGGATAGACAGTGAAGTGCTGGAGCTTTTACATTTGCATAATTATACTGAAGAGAGAAGCTCCCTCTATCATCAAAATATTAGTCTCCATCAGTGTTCAGCGTGAACAGCAAAACCACCGTAGATGAAGTGTGCTTTCATTAATAACCTCTCCATATGCCAATCAAAATATTTCTATTAAACAAAATCGTCTGCTGGGCCATTTAAAGGATTTTGATTCTGTAAAAGTGTCTAAAAACACTCACATCAATACTCAAATAAATGTGCACACACATAATATGCAGATGGACATATAGATATACTGTAAGAAGCTTATAATACCAGACTAGCATTAGCATTCACAAAAAGTAAAAAGCTGTTAAAACTTCCAAGCACAAAGATTTAAGTGGTTTTAAAAGAGGATCTGACATTTTGAAGAAGATGATGGGCAGTGTGAACTAGCCTATATATTTATGCCATATAGGAAAGCTTAGGGACGGAGAGTCATTGCTGCCAGTGGATGACATGTGCTTGTGAGTCATTGCTCATGCTTGTTAATGGTGTTTTATTGGCAAGATTAACAGCTTTTATATCATGGCAGAGGCAGCAAGCCAGGTAAAACAGCTGTTGATCATATTGTCTTGGTTGTAGGGCATGGAGACGCGTTAACACCATATTACTGGAAACACATACGGCCTTGTAGCATTGCTGAACAAGTGTATATAGTAGTTAAAAGCAAAGGGATATCATACAACTAACTAACTTGATATTCTAGCTTGGTTTTCTGCTAGTTTAGTAAAGGAAAAATGCTTTCATGCTTTTGTTGAAGCAGTTTTATGGTTTTGAAGAAAGGTCTGTGAGCAGAAAAATCCTATTTTGAACACTAAAGAAGGTACCAATAGATGCCATTAGCTTCTACTCAATTGGCTCTTTGTGTTTTCCACAGAAAGATTGGACAAAGGGTCAGATGACCGCAGAGTTCACACACGCGTGCATTTACTCAGAGGCATGTACCTTTTATCGATTGGAGCAGCACGCAACACACATCTGTACACACTTGTGTCTACATTCACACGCACTTTAGAGGAGAGCAGAGAGAGAGCCTCAGCACGCAAGGTATTCAAGCTATGTGCAGCCTGTGTGTGGATACAGCTTGGTACAATCGTAGCATTTAGACAAGTTTTAATTTACTTAGGATGGGCTTGCAGCATATGGAAGCATCCATAATAGCTGACTGATAGAGAGACAAAGAAATTCCAGTCTTCTGGCGCTAAAAAACTCAATTCAGATCTGGTCATAATGGCTCAGCTGTCGTAACCAAAGGAAGGGAAGAGAATAGGGTGCCTTGTGATTTTCCCCCTTTTCACCCTCTCCCTCCCTCGCTTTTCTTCTTTTTTTTGTGCCTGAATCTTTTATCTGTGTTATTCACTCGGGACTCTTCAAAGTAACAAGCCTCCTTCTTTTTCCCCGGTACTGGACTTGGAACCCAAATTAGAGACTGCTTGATTAGAGCAGAGAGGAGGGAGCCAAGAGAGAGGGAGATGTGGGTATTGGACAGAACAAATCGCACCCCTACAAAGTGCCTTTTATCCAAAGACCCCAAGGCTCAAATACCCCCATCCCTCCCCAAGCAACCATGGCTCTGCTTGTTTTCCTCTTATCATTTATTTAGTCACCCGTTGATGTTTTCTGCCCTACTTTGTGACGTTTAAAAGAGGCAGGAATCTCAAAAGGTGAATGCTGAATGGGCTGAAACTGAACAACACAGCTTTACCGTCGCATCCTCCTATGTGTCAATCTAGCATCTCAGAAGTTAACACGGTGGCCCGAGAAAAAAACAAGAAAAGTGCCAGCACAGCTTGACCGCTCACTCCTGGGATCCTCTTCCTGTGTCAGGCTGGTATTGTCCTACTGAGCTTCAGTCGTCTAACAGGAGGATGTCACAACATGTTAGGTCTGGGCCGACTGCTGGGGTTTATGTAGCGCCAAGGCATCTCTGGGCTGTCTGTCTGCCATCGGAAGCGCAATGTGAGGAGACATGTTAACGGGCAGACCCAGGCCCCACCGCTGTTAAAAGCCATGCAATATGCAGGAAACAGCCTCTTTTGTCAGCAGGCTGGTCAGACACAAGACCACAACTCTCCTCTTCTGCACCACCCAATAAAAGTTTTATCTGCATTTTAAAGCTGATCCATAATTTAAAGCAGGAAGAAAGAGATTTTAACACTAACCACTCAACAAAAAACATATGTGCCTGATTTTATACAAAGTTATGTACTGTCTAATGTGAAATTCTTCCTACATGGTTTCATATTTAGTTTTTTAGATGCCAAAAGTTCTATTTTAGTCTTCAACATTCAGCGCTAATCTGAATAGTTGTGGAATTCTTGTTGATATTTCTGCATTGATTGTGTTAAAAATAGACAAAAAAAGACTGAACAAAGAGTTCAATAATTAAGATTAACATTAGCAAAGAGGGAAGGCCCAAATTGCAGTACAGAGGGCAGTTTGGACTCCCCACAATTCCGCTCAACATCAAAACAATGAGCCCTCTGTTAGTATTCTTTTGGTGTCCGGGCAGGACTGAGCTCTCCACACTCATGCTAGCCCATCATTGGACCCTCAGCACTGTTTTTTTGTAAGTTTTTTTACAGTGTTGACACTCCTGAACTACTGAGTGATCAGCAGAAATGTGTAATTAGACTGAGCGGGCGTCATTGAGTCCAGATGTTTGGTTCCCAACTCAAGGTCATCTATGCCGGCCCTGAGGCCTGATGGTCATTATGTTCATCTGGATTATTCTTTCTTTTTATCTTTTCTTTCTGTCTCCCTTTCTCTCTGTCTGCCTTCCTTTATTACTTTCTTTAGTTCCTCCCCCCTTCCCACTACAGTATTGATAGCGGTGATTTATTGTGACAACGACTGATGTATCTTACTGGTGACCTGTAAAAGGCAGCTCCTTCATGGACACAGCCAAAGGTTAATAAAATTGGTGCTGATTGTATCAATTTTACAGATAAGCCATTCACAACAAGTGTAGTCGGGTGAATAAGAAGTCAATTCAGGCCTTAGAAACTGCACGCAGGCCCAATGAATAGCTGCTTTTAGGGGCTTTTTTTTTCGTTAGGAGGATAAATGGAGAATTGCAGCTCTCTTCCATTGCAGCAGGCAGCGGAGGCAGAGCAAGGCGAACCGAGGTTCAGACAAGCCTGCCAGTAAATTGCCCTCAATGGGTTCTGGAGGTTGACAAGCCCTATTAAGACAAACGGCTTTCCTCATCGGAGAGATAAAATAAATCAGGTGTTTAGTCAAATTAAAATAGTTTGAGTGGAGAGGGCCCCTGGGAGCTCTCGGAGAAACTCAAGACAGATGTGGCCAGAGACGAGAGGAAGACACCCAGGAAAGAATTCAGCTCCTGCTGGCCCCAGGCCAGACTTCACTGTACTGTTATCTGGAGCTCTATGCTTTTATCCTGTCTCTCATCCTGTCTCTCTCTGTCTCTTCCGTCGGTTTTCCCATCTCTTTTTTTGTATGTTCTCCAAGATCAGCTTGTCACACAGGAGTGCAGTGGAAGGAGAGTGAGTTACTGTCTAGCCTCTCACTGGCAATTATGTTGGCGGTGTAAGTCAATGGTAGGATCACTTAGCATTGATTAGGCGGAGGGAGAGAGCAGTGCAGCGGAGCCGCTCTCTCTATCACACACAGTGCGGACATGTGACTGTAGAGAGAGAAGTAAGCCTATTGGTCTGTCGTTGCATTCAGTGTCTACACATATGATAAAATAAAAAGTGTATTCAGTGTTGATCTTAATGATACAAATCTCCCTTTAATGATGATTTTCTAGTTATTTTTGAAAACAATCCTTTCAGAGTTCCTACTCTAATGTGTTGCTGGACTGGCCATATAATGAAAAACTTGTGTAGTTTTGAGGCTGGTGCAAACACTGACTTTCAACACTTTTCTTTATATTCACCCCTGGTAGTCTGACATAAGCTTCCACCTCAGTTTGACAGCTCCCCGCAGCTCTTTGTCTATGTGCCGGGAACAATTCCTTCCCTTTCTTCCAATGAAAGCTGTGAACACCAGCTACAGTTAAATAGACAACTCCAGGCTGTGTGTGACCTTAACACTTTCTGAATTCACTGCAGTTGGTTTGCTGCCCGTGTGGTTCTCTTTGTATGATATATTATGTACAGTACTATAGCACAATATGATGATCGGTGTGTGCAGCATGGTCACTTTTCTATATTCAGCAGTTTACAATGACCAAGGCCTTCTGCAGGTGTTCTCTCAAAAGCCCACACCCTGGAAACCTTTTGTGTCCTTTTTTTTTAATTTCAGGTATGCATAACACATACCTGTATCTGTGTTTATGACTCAGGCTCTCCACCTTGTGTTTATCCTCTCCACTCTTGACATGGCTCTCTCTCCCCCTCTCTCTTTGCCATCACTAGGTACTCCAGAGAGCCTGGCAGAAAAGGAACACCAGCTCTCCACAATGATCACCCAGCTAATCAGCCTGCGAGAGCAGCTTCTGGCTGCCCACGATGAACAGAAGAAGCTCGCCGCTTCGCAGATGGAGAAACAGAGGCAACAAATGGAGTTAGCTCGTCAGCAGCAGGAGCAGGTAACAGCTCACTGTTTTCTTTTTTCACTTTCACAGTATCTCTATTTGTTTCTTTTTGTACCCCAGATAATCGCCTTTTTATCCCTCACCATGTTCCATATTTGCCACACATTTCTTTCTTTTTTCTTGTTTGTTTGTTTTTTTTCCTTCCTTCCTATTTAAAGCATTCATTCCCCTTCCTTCTTTAATCTTGTTTACTCTATTTCCCCTTTCCTCTCTATAATAAACCTCATTAAATACATTTGTAACAAATTGTCACTTGACTCTATTTCATATCAAATTTCATGCCTGAAATATGCCAATAAAATCTTTGTCCTCGATAGGAATTTGGAATAATATTAAATTTAAGAGATGTTACATTCTATATTACCTCCGATATTTCTGTCATGCTCTCTTGCCCACATTTATGCTGTGTGGTAGGAAAAATGTTATTATGACTTGTACTAACAAATGCGAGGGAATGTGTGAATTAAACGTTATATTAAACATGGAAGTCCTCTATATCTTATAAATCGACTCCTATTAGAACAAGCCTGGCATTAGATTTGCAGCGCGAATCAGGCCAATGAGCCATATTGTACAAATCAGCAAATTAGCAGAGGCCATGAAGTGTGTTAATGTCTGGGAAGAAATAAGGACACAAACTATCCACACGGGCGACACTTTTATTATCACCAGCCACCCTAATGGCTATGAGTCAATTATCAGCAAGGAGTTCACTCAGAGTTTTCTCAGCACACTCTCAGACCTTCATGTGGTAAATGAAGAGATAGACCATATACCTTGAAGTGATGCATTTGGTCATAGTACACTAATAATACATTAACAGTATTGATTTCTTTTCCAATCAATGATGTTCATTTGCAAATACTCGACTCTGTGGGCTTTGTAGACATTGCAGCACAAATGAACAGTGGTATAAGATATTTTATTATTTGATCTTATTTTAAAATGGAAGAATATTAATAAAATTAGAGAGAGAGAGAGAGAGCAAGCGAGAGGGAGAGAGAGATGGGGAGAGAGGTAGAGCGAGGGAGCCCGCTGAGAGCTAGAATGTCATCAAGCCATCAAGATACAACACAGTAATTAACTGTTGACACTCGTGAGGAAGCCAGCACAAATTAATCTTGACACATTTGCAGACGGCCGATATCTTACAGTGAACACTTTGTAATTATATTTAAAAATGAAAATTAAATGACACTTAAAACTAGGTTGTCATGCTCAATGAAGTGGGCATGTAGAAAGGGGGACTGCTGGAACGAGAAGGATTGCGGTGTGCCTGCTCGTCACTCATGGGCGGCAGGGACCTCCGTCATCCGTACACTGCTTGCACCAGTTATCTCCATCATAACCACAGTCGTCTGTGCGTAAATCATTTATTCCTTTACGACCAATTTTGACTGTATAGTTCAGCCCAATTTGTTTCATGTTCATTTAGAAAATTGAAAGTTTATTTTTGTCAGATTTTTTAGCCATTTGGATATAAATATTTGGTTACTTTCTTCCCTATATTATTTATATTGTAACCTCTATCTTTTAACATATTCTGAAACACTGTAACTGGCCTGGATAGCATTTAGGAGCAGTATCTCTGGTATTGTGCTTGCAGTTGCAGCACAGTTCATTTGTAATGCTGTCTAAAAGAGATCAACTTTTTCTGTGTCAGTTTAACCAGGAGATATTTATTTTCCCAACTTTATTTGTGTTTCCAACCAGATTGCAAGACAACAGCAGCAGCTTCTGCAGCAGCAGCACAAAATCAACCTCCTCCAGCAACAGATCCAGGTCAGTGAATGTGTTTCTGTTGGCCCTGCAACACTCAGCAGCTTATACCTCTCACTTCTTCTATGCTGATTACTACAACATTTCTCCGTCTTCATTGTAATTGGTGTCACCATGAGCCAAATGCCTAGATTCAATGGCACGGATCAATAAAAATTAGACATTAAAGTAAATATCATTGCTAACTTCTGTTAGCTTCTCCTTCTCATCTTTTTCTGTTTTTTATATTTCTTGTCTTTTTATCTTTAATTTTTGTGTCACACTAACATTCATCACTCTCATCAAATGTTAATTGCCTGTTGGTAATCGGGAGGGCTTTAAAATATGGAGGAGAATAATTAGCACATCTTAATGAACAAAAAAAAGGGGTGGGGGTGGGGGGGTGTAACAACAGTTAATGAGTCCTGTTGATGGAGAAGAGCCTAGAGGTGGGGGACATGAAAGACGCTGGTAAATGCCTCTGAAACAAGTCACTCCCAGACGGGCAACGTGGCATGCTTTCACACAGCCTGAGAACTACTGAAAACTTACATTGTCAATATGCTGTGTGGCTGGTATTGTGTATTTATTTATTTTCTTGCTGTTCCTTTTCCCCTCTGGTATATATTTATGTGTTGCTCTAGATAAAAAAAAAAAAAAAAAGTACAAGTGTGTTTGTGTACTTTATGTGTTGCAGCACAGAGTGGTCCTGTGAAAGACCACCCAGGCATGGTCAGACAGTACAGGGTAATCCAGGGTTGGTCGCTGGCAGTGGTCAAGGCTGTGAGCCTGGCTGCCTGTGTGAAGCTAACGTTATCCTTCTGGGTGTGCTTGGTGTCAGGCACATCTTTCTCCATTCACCTCCTCCTCCTCTGCTTGTTCTTCTTACTGACAACTCCCCATCCTGTCCTCTTTTTTTTCCCCTTCTCTTTTCAAAAAATAACTTACAATTGTTCCTCCAGCACCTTTAAGCACTCCTCACAGGAGATATTATTGGATTCTTAAGAGCAGTTTATCCTTATGGGCATTATTTGAGACATCATACCCTTACATAACACAGTTACTTATGATACACAAGCTTCTGGTTTCAAACAGCAGTTAGCACAACAACCAGACTTACTGCCAGGACATCAAAATGTATTTTTCAAGAGCTCTTTGCAAGAGAAAGGCCATACTGTCAACATGTTCTTGTGAAGCCACAAGCCTGGACCTTTCACTTCAACAGTGGACAGTTTATTGGAAAAAGAATTCCATATTACACTCCACTAAGAGAAGCACAGAGCACAACACTGTCTAGAAAACACTCTAAAATGAAGTACCTTATACACTACTGAGGGGCTAGTAATACTCATATCATGGAGGGCCCTTTACTTATGCTCATTGAGCATAAGGGCACAGCCCTAATGCATCTTACTTTTAGAGGCCCTTGCTTTCATCACAAAGTTAAAGGCAAATGATACCTGAAAATTCCCCTTGATGCATAGTTTTGAGAGAGGGTGGGGGGTCGAGTGTGTATGGGAACGTACTTCTAAATATCAATTTCAAACACTTGAACAGAGTTATAAGTAAAGTCCTTTCTTGCAGAGCCCAGTTAGCCAGCTTCTCCCTTGACCAAATGTGCCACAGATCTTCCCAGATAAAAAAAAAAGAAGGAGAAAAAAAATCCACATCCACAATTAAACAAAAGAGTCCCATGTTCAGTTCACCATCTGTTCCACTGCCCATCAGCCTCTGCTGGCTGCACTTTGCAGACAGAACACCACCTAAGAATAAACAGGGATCACTCTCAATACTTGACATTAGTTTGATCGTGTGCAACATTGTTTATCCATGAGCAAGTCCTTTAAAGCAGGAGATGTTCTCTCCCTCCCTACCCTTGTTCCTCCAAATATCCAGTGTGGTGATGGCCACTCCTCTCCAGTTGGAGTTGCAAGGAGAGTAGATAAAAGAGTCAGGGGCAAGTTAGTGAAGCATTTTTTGCAACTCTGTTTTCATTACTGCTGCCTCTTAAAATGCCCTGGCCATTTTAATATATAACAGCTTTGACTTAATTAGTTCTGTAAACAAGCTTGCAGTCTGTATGTCACAGACTTTTAGCAAAGTGGTAAGCAGTGTTGGGGGATTGAGTTACTCTGCTATTAGCATGGAGAGCACTAAACTTTATTGGAGACCCTACTGACCATCAAAGTCCTTCTGTTTTGGCTTCAGGGAGAAAACCAAGAGAAAGCCTCTCGCTAAGGTCTCATATTGATGATGTAACTAATCACATCAGTGGACATTGTAAACTGTCCAAACAATAAAACCATGGGGACTGCAACTGAAGACTGCTGTTGGCACGCTATGTGTGTGCTTTCAAGGTGCTTTTGCATGTGGACTGAAGGGAATCCATCATAAGTGTGTAGTTATAGAGGTTTAGTTAGTGAGGTTTGGAGCAAGGCAGCATGCAGTTCAAGATCAAGTTTCCCTTTTGAATAGCCATCCCTCTTTTTTATACTTTCTCTTCATTCCTACAAGATAGGGAGAGATTTAGTCTTTGTCCTTCGGGATTACAATGTCACTTGTTTTAAGATAGCAGATGTTTTGATTGCAGTGTTAGGGGCTTATCAAAAGTTAAAGCTCAAGGCTTTGTGTGTTTTCCCCTCAGCTTGTTTGTATTCCTTCAGTCCATCCTTGTCGTTGAAATCGTCTTGGCACTAATTCAATCCCAGGATAAGATTAACTCTTGAGTTGATTTAGTTGAAAATTTGAAACACCACCAACACACGTGACAATTTAACATATATATGTTAGCAGGGAACTGTTGTTTTTTTCTTCTCCCCACAAGTTACTTATCTCTCTGAGTCTGTGTGAAGGCGCTGGGAGATTACAAGAAAAAGAAATAATGAGGACACTGTTATGTTTTTCTTATTTGTTTCAGGCTCAGCATCACTCAGGCACACTGAGCATTATTTGAGTCTCCTCTTCATGGTTTTCTGTTTTATAATCACACCCACTTTCTCTTGCTCCTAATGGATGAGCAGTCGCAGCAGATGAGCAGCTAAACAGCATCACGTTGATCATCAGACTGGTGATTCTGTTGGCTGGCATGTTCTTTCATATGAATTTTCCTAGTTACAGAACTGTACATGAGTTCAAGGCGCATGTTGCTAAGAAGTGAGATGCATTAGAGTGGTAACGGCAGAATAGTCTATCAAAGTCTTGGGTACAAAATAAAATAAAAACTAAATGCTCTCATGAGATGTGGTGCTCTATGAAACTCAAGTGACAGTACTGTCTATAGCCATGCCACAAGCAATGATTCCTTCACCTCTCACATGGTAATGACCCCAGTTCACGTATTCCTCAAGGGTGGGTCTGTTAAGATACAAACTGGTTTGACTCTCACACGCAGGCACGCAGATAGCCATACACATGCACAGAGGTGATCGTGTACAGTACACAGGCACACAGAAACCCACGCATTGATACACACATCAAGAGAATAAATATTGGTGGAAAGGTCAGGGTGAACTTTATCTTCACAAACAGGCTGGAGAAAGCAGAGCTCCCCAGATGAAACACAGGGACACTGTTAATCCAAAATATTTAATTTAAATTTTGTATCCAATGAAAGCATCAGACTATCATGACATTGTCATTGGCTGTGGCATTGATGTGCCAACCCTGAGTACACTGTGAGATCAGAGATCTGGAAGATTAAACTTACCCCTATGGGGGGCCATTGTCTACCATATTAATATTTTTTTTTTTTTTATTTTATATTTTTTTATATATTTTCACGTGTTTTTGAAGCCTTTAGTGATCTGTTCTGGTTTGTTTATCTCCCTTTGACCTGTTGTTCTCGCTATATACAATTCTAACCTCACTGTCTGTACACACACACACACACACACTATCTGTGCCTCTGCATCCTACCTTTAACCTTGTGTCCACAAAGATACACAAACACACCTACAGAATGTGTGTATCTCTTCCATTTAAAAAGAGAAGTCAAAGATTAAAAGAGAAAAGGGCAGTATTTTTGTTGTCCACTGCAAACTTCAAAGTCCTAAAGGCTTTCTCACATGTGTCTTTAATGGTGTAAAGAAACAGTAGGGGACATGCCGACGATGGTTAAATGCTAAAGGTCCCAAGATTAAAAGATGAAATTCAATTATAGTAGCAATTAGCTGCTCACAATGTATAAGGTAGACAAAAACATTACATTGTAAGGTAGGTTATTAAACCACGTAGCTTGCGTTACTATTTACACAGTTTTAGACTAAATTATGCACAAGTGTTGAGATTCTTCTTATACTATTGTTTTAATACAGACAAAATTATCTTACATGCTGCTTTTTACTTTCAGTTATTATATTTTTAGAAGAGGAAAAAACTAAAGAACTAGGGGAAGCTCTGTAAAAATGTCTTCTGTATTCAGTGGCATGGAGTCTTGCACACTCACACAGTTTTAATTATGGCAGTGGTAACAATGCCATTGTTTACCAAGTTATGCACATTTTAAAAATAATTTTGGCAAAACTTTAAGTTCCCAGGAAACAATTTTATTAGCTTGACAAATCTAGATTTTATGTGCAGATGTGTTCAAGATTGGTCAAGCTAGATGTGAGACACCTGTCATGCATCTAGCTTGATCAGCAGCTATCATCAAGTCATTCCACACATTTTCAATAACATCTAGCGGCTGCTTTAGTCATACCATATCTAATATTTTGTGATGCCGTTGCAGTGTGATTCAGCTGTATGCGTGGGTCACGGTCCTGTTGCAACATATATCCTCACGTCAATCTAAGGTCTTTGTCACTGAGAGGCTGATAATTGGCCTCTATCAGACTGTATTAACTGTTTCCTCCATCCTCACAGTCGCCACACGGCTTGATGCTTCTACCATTATGCTTTGCAGTATGGACTGCATTACAATTTCTATACAGAGCTTTTTACTACAGCTTAAGTAATACACTTTTGTCTAGTGCTGCACACACAAATCATTATCTAACCAGATCTGCCAGCATGAACAAAAATTT